TGTTTAACGAGTAACAATGTACTCTTATTGAGGTAATGAGCATGTAGCATGGGACCTTTTGGGATCTCTAATATTTGGTAGACAAATCTCCACTTATCTTGATAACAGGCAATCATGTATCTTTAACAAACTGGAATTTCACCATAAAAGGTAGAAATTATGAATGAGATATCCAATATTGATTTATTTATACAAGTCCTTCCATCAACCAATATTTCATTTTTACTCGTAGAGGTGGGCTATCATATAATTCTATGTCGGTCATTGAGTTTATATGTGCATCTCTATTCCTCTCAACCATGAAATGAATCAGAAAAAAAAAACTTATAAATAGTCTAATATGCTGTAAAAAATAAAATTTCAACAGAACGGATGATTTCAAAAGGTGCAATCTGAGATATTCTCTTCTATTATTAGAACGATGGATCCCAAGGTATTTAATACTCTTCATAGAATATTCATATGACCCGACATGCCCAGATTTATCTTGTATTGAGGCATAACTGGTTGACCTTCAAGTCAAAAAACTTTACAAATATTGCTTATAAAACCTCTTTCTCAAATCGACAATTAACAAGCCCGGGAGCTTTTCTTGGTGGGTCCAGCTCAACTTTTGTCATCCACAAAGACTCGTATATTGCAAAAAATACAACAACTCGTTCATAAGTAGTATGCCCAATTCATACTTTTTAGTTGGGAGTTACTTTAGGTTATAATCTCCCATAATGATTAGTATCGTTATAATTATCTCTATACAATATAACCTTGGACAGCTTATATGAATATAATATCCAAATATGCATGTAGCAAAGCATTGGCTTTGCAGAGTACATGACTCTTTTCATTTAGAGCAGATAATTTATGGATCCTACTATCTTTGCTCTTTAAAAATTAATAGGTGATTGCATGTGCAAGCCGCTCTAATCCCAATTAATTAAGCTGTTCGTTCGGTGTATCTTCAGGAATTGATACTTTAAAATCCAGCGACCATAGTCATGTAAATATCTTTTAAACAAAAAAAATCAATTTATTTTAAATCAATATAAAATTTTCCCTACCTGCCGTTCACTCAGGTTAGGATTTTCTTCTTGAGGTGACTTCAAGACACCGAATCGAGACGTAGAAGTGCCAACCACTCCAAAACCTAATTCGCATTTTCTTGCTTTGACTGTATTGAAGCTTTGAAAAAGGATCAGAGAAATTGCAACGCAGCTAGCTTTTGGCTCTTTCCTTATTATTCTTTGGGTTGAAATAGCTTTCTGCCCTTTGCTACATACCGCTATTACCCCTCAACTGATCTTCCCGAGCAACTCAAGCCATCGTTGTAACTTTACATGAGGTGGAATTGCCAGAAGATTCAAGAGCATTGCATTGGAATTATTAGTTTATAAGTTCTATTTGAGGCCAAATCATGGGTAGAGCTAATTAAGTGTAAATTTAGGGAAAGAAGACGTGGGATCCGCCCCTTTTATATGTGTGATTAGTTTAGCGTAAGAACACTAGAACGAGTCATGTCGATAATACCACGGGCGAAGAAGATTTGGTAGATGATGTATGCAATAAGCTTTTTGACCTTTCGAGAACCCAGCATTAGTTAAAAAAAACCATAAAGCAACCAATTGAATTGGTTAGATCGGTTAGGTTGGAGAGCCTGGAAAGTGACATTTTCTTGACCATAGTTGGGTATCCAAAGTGGATAAAACCAAGGCCATGATGAAGGACACATAATTTAAGAAAGAAAGAAAGAAAAATGGGTGTTTGGGACAATTGACTCACCGAAGTAGACAACCCTTCCCAATCAATTGCTTTCCTTAAACTACCCAAGAAAGCTGTTTCCACTTCCCCTAATTCAGGAGAAACCAAACGAAACCCGCTCAAAAAGACATCATCTCCACACTCTTGAACAACTTCAATCACAAGCGAACCACTCACATTTAACTCCCACACCAAGCTACCCAAGCATACACACACAAAAAGAAATTTGCTTTGCAATGGCAAACAAAGCCCAAATAGTGGCTGCCTCGTGGGGGGTCAAGACCAGCTTCCACTCCCTGGTGACTCTCCTCGTCGCCGGCGTCGTCTACCTCACCCGCGACGCGGAGCAGCCGCCGCCGCCGGATGAAGATAGAGCGGCCATCCTACGGAGCTCGGCCGAAATGGTTTCGCCGGCGCCAGCACCGTCCACATTGACGTCAGCGCCGGAGCGGGAGTGTGACTTGTTCTCGGGGCGGTGGGTGTTCGACAACGTGTCGTACCCACTCTATAAGGAGAAAGAGTGCAAGTACATGTCGGATCAATTGGCTTGCGAGAAGTTCGACCGGACGGACTTGAGGTATCAGCAATGGAGGTGGCAACCCCACGGATGCGACCCTCCTAGGTATATATATACTTTCATTATTAAGTATTGATCAGGACTCATTCGTTTTGTTTAAAAGAAAACTAAAGAATCCGACTCATTAATCTGAGTGTTTGCTGAGTTCCACATTAGTATACCAGTTTTGTATTCAAATCTCATTATACAGAGTATCACACCCTTCAAAGAACACGAAGATTGACACAGCATGTTGAGTTTTGATGTGCTTATGAAATTGATTAGGGTTTATGAGTTGAGTTTCGTGGCTGTGTGTCTGGTGATAACAAGGGCAGGTTCAATGCCACAGCATTGCTGGAGAGGTTGAGGAACAAGAGGCTCGTGTACGTGGGTGACTCGCTGAATCGAGGCCAGTGGGTGTCCATGGTTTGCCTGGTCGAGTCGGCCATTCCTCCGAACCTCAAATCCATGTCGTTCAAGCACAACTACTCCTTGCTCATCTTCAGGGCCTCTGGAAGTCAAACATCTCTTTCCTGCCAACTCACAACTCTTCCACATGGGAGACAGCACAACAACGTGGGCACGTGAACATTGTTTTTATCGACGACGTTGTCCTTTTCTACGAATTCACGACAGTTTTTTCAACGACTTAGGTGAGGAAAAAAGTTTTCAATGCTTTGGCTATAGTGCAGCAGAAGGAGAAATCTAGATTCTTACACATTCCTTAACATATCTTTGAAAATGGACATGGCATTCATGCAAATCAATCGGTCTACAGGTTCTGGATATAGTAAAAACCCATTCTTAATCAAAAACCAGTTTAACGCAGTAAACTAGAACAATAAATTTTAATTTTGCCGTTGTCCTCAATTGAACTCTCCCCTAAAAAATCATAAATAATGGGATCGGACGAGTTGTTGGATCGAATAATGTAAGAAACCATGCGTCCAGTGACAAATTCAAATTAAGTATGAATCGATGCAATATGATATGATAAAGTTTTATCATGCGCTAAAATCATATCTTTTATGTGTAGTTCGAGCGGCCATTTGAGAAATTGATATCAACATGATGTTTTCGTTGTAATCCAAGTTTTATCTCTAAGCAATTTCAAATGATTTAAATGTCAATATCTTTTAGTCTCAAAATTTGAGATGTCTAGCTACTGTCGGGATCGAGTTTGGGAGTTTAATGGTTATCAACAAAATTAGGAATACAATGCGACTATTGAGTACTATTGGGCACCATTGCTAGTGGAATCCAACTCCGATGACCCCGTCAACCACCGGGTGCCCGATCGGATCGTCCGGGTTCAAGCCATCGAGAAGCATGCAAGGCATTGGTCCGACGCGGACATTCTCATTTTCGATTCGTATCTTTGGTGGAGGAGAGCCCAAATGAAAGTTTTGTAAGTACTCTTTCTTCATCTATAAATGTAAATTATGTCCAAATCTTTTTAAAATAAAGAGGAGTTAAGTAACTTCTAATTAGACCTCAATTTCGCGTGGCTAGGTGGGGCTCGTTCGGAAGTCCGGATGGAATTTAGTAAATTTACAAAGACGTGATGATGCCACGTGCCTATGAGATGGCTCTTTAAACATGGTCGGATTGGTTGGAAGTGCATGTGAATAGATCCAAGACCCAAGTCTTCTTTGTTAGCATGTCTCCAACTCACGAAAGGTATGAGCTTTTTCATAGCATCGATGCAACTCTTTTGGTTGGAAGATTCGTTTACAAAGTAATAAAGCAAGGCAACGTTCTTTTCTGTGTCGTAGAGCCGAGGAATGGGATGGGAACGAAGGCCAAAACTGCTACGCGGAAACCGAACCGATCACCAAAGAAGAATACTGGGGAAGTGGGTCGGACCAGGCAATGATGCGGGTCGTCGAGTCCGTGGTCGATCGGTTGAAGGCGAGAGGTCTCGGGGTTCAGATCCTGAACATCACTCAGCTCTCGGAGTACCGGAAGGAAGCACACCCATCCATACATATAGGCGACAATGGGAACCCTTAACCAAAGAGCAAGAGGCAAAGCCGATAAGCTATGCGGATTGCTTCCATTGGTGCTTGCCCGGAGTGCCAGATGTGTGGAACGAGCTTCTCTACGCCCACATTTTCCAGAATCGGACACAAAGATTAGAGGGTAGAGTCGAAGGATTGTGACTCAGATAGCTTCTTACTTACTTTGACTTTTTCATTACAACTTGAGGTTTGGCCACAATTAACTGAAGTTCGGATGTATTTACCTCCCCACCACACCACAAGCAAAAAATAGTCTTGAAAGAAGAAAGAATGTACAAAGGGTGCCTGGATTGCTTTCTCTTTTTCCTTTTTTTCCACCATTTTTTTCTTATTCTATGTGCAGTAATGTGATGCGGATTTTTGAGTTGAATAACCCTCATACACTAGTCAAATCAACATCTGGCAATGATAACAAACAACGGGGATTATAAATCTGGTAAAGGTTCACTTTCCAGTTTGGCAACCGCACGCTCTATCGTGTAAATAAAAAAAAATGAACTAAAAATATGATTAAAAAAAGAAGTACTCGTTTCAAGTAAATATAAACAATAAGATTTCGATACTTCTTGTGGAGTGATAAGCGAACATAAATAATACATCGCACTACTCTTGTGACCTTCAACCACAAAACTGCTCCTTGAGTAATCTCTTTTTAGTTTCATTCCAAATATCTCAACGTAGCTATAGTATATTCACAAAGATGTAGATACTTTCCTCGATCCAACATCTAGTTATCTAAAATTATCAATGATATGACCGTAATGATTATAATGACAGTGCGAGGTTAGTATTTTCTTCATGAAGGAGCTCCATGGCTGAAGAGACTTTTTTCGAGGCAAAGTAGTTGGTGTGTTCTACATTTTCACGATCATCACAAGTGCAAGAATCAGGAACTTCAAATGACACCATTGGAGAGCTTGAGCTTGACAAGTCCGAGTGAACATTCTGCAGCATCATTTGTAAATACACGTGTAATCGCACTTGTTCATCATGAAGAAACCAAAGTTCTAACAACACGAGCATAAAAAGAAAAGAAAGTTAACGGGTGACACTTGAGTGTTGTGATTGTGACGACGTTCAGAAGACCTACTTTTCTGGAAATGGTTCCATCCTCTTCAACGTGCCAACCCGCTTCTCCACAAAGAGCCTTCAGCAAGTCATTGGAATCAGCATGTTTAGGCAGTTTATAATTTCCATGAGTTCGAAGGCCTGCAAATATCTGTCTGGCCACGGCTCGTCGCTTGCATTCCCTTCTTTTGTTATTTTGGCGTTCAATCTCCGAAGGGAATCGATATCGTGTGACAAGCCTTCCATCTTTCCCAGCTTTGTGGACTATCCAAGGGCCTGTAGTCGTCTTGATGCACCCTCTTAATTTACTTTTCTTTTGCTCGGCCATGGTAATTTGCCCTTATATTGAACTGCCTTCATACAAGAAGCTGGTCTATTTATAGAGGTGGAAGCAGTAGCCAAAAAAGTAAGGAATATGTACAACAGTCTTCAATGCTTTTTCCCTGATCCGACAATGATTTTCAGCAAATTATGTGTGAGCACAACTTGTCCTATAGCATGGTTTCAAGCTAAAAAGAATTCCAGGATATTGACCAACTTTTTTTCTGAAGAGGTTTAAATAAGAAAGAAAAAAGATTTTATGTCACGCCCCCCACCTTACGAGCGCGCGATCACCCCTCGATGGTCGATCATTGAACGCGACGTCCCAAGACGCGTCGCCGACCCAAACGAACTACGCAAGCGGAAGCGAAATAAAACAACCCGGACAATAAAATATGACGAAGGGATAGCACAAAACAATAATTCCAAATACACAACATCAAAACGGAATAGTGGTTTGGATATCCTACTTCACTGTACAAAAGAGGGGCACACAAAAATATGGGGCAACTTGACCCGTCCTCCACTCCCGAGATACCCTGCTGGCGTCTCCAATCAATAACTGTCGCAGATCTGAAAATGGTTATATAATAACCGTGAGAACGAGTCTCAATAAGCAACCCCCTATACCCCACATAGGCCAATGTGTACCCAGACAAGTCGTACATGCAATCTACCCCATAACATATAAAATAAAATCGCATCCTTATACTTACCTCACCATCGAACCCATGCTAACACTGCACGTTAATCATAACATGGTAATGCAGTAATAGTAACTAAATAGCACATCGCAATTGCTCAAACGCCAACCACACTTGCACGCAATTCATCTTACTAATTCGACCACACATTCAACCAGCCAATTCAATCACACGCTCAACCAGCCAATTCAATCACACTCAACCAGCCAATTCAGTCACACTCAACCAGACATTTCAATCACACTCAATTCGCATGCGTGGCAGAACATCTTTCTCACGACCCGCGCCACCGCGCCTCGTGTCCATTCTCACGCCCGCGCCACCTGCGCCTCGGCCCACTTGGCACACCGGCCATTCATGCTTTCACACGGACCGCCGTCAACACGTCCCAAGTTCGTAGCCCTCCGATCAATCCGGGCTCAATTTCCAATGACCGACGTAAATACCTCCCGGTCCAACACACCTCTAACGGGCCACCGTCAACACGTCTCAAGCCCGCATCCATTTGGCACACCGGCCATTCATGCCTTCACACGGACCGCCGTCAACACGTCCCAAGTCCGTAGCCCTCCGATCAATCCGGGGTTGTAATCGACAGGCATGCACACGCTATTCAATTCAATCAATTTCACAACAATTGCATTAAACCATCCATATTCACAACTCAATCCAATTCACAATTCGCCACGTCAATCCACAAACTCAACGTTCAAGTCGGCCACGTACGATCACCCAAATCATGCATATTATTTTATCCAATCCAATTAGCACAATTATATCATAATATAATTAAATTAAATCACGCTCTAACCGTTCTAAACTTGAGACAAGTCATAAAATACCCAAAGTACTAAATAGGGTTTAGAAATTCACTTACTTCAATATGCCCCGGGAAAAACCCACACGGGCTCAAAACAGGTGGATGAACAGTAAACGGGCGGATGAACAGTACGCCGGATGAACAGTAACGGCCGGATGAACAGTGACGGCCGGAGCTCGGCCACGGCCCGGGGCAGTCCGGCCACGGCCTGGGCACGCTCGGGCTGGCTGGGCAGCGGCTAGGCGAGCTCGACCACAGCTCGGGACGCTCGGGCGACGACGACAACGACGGCGGTTGGACTGGTCCCGGCGAGCACAGCTGCTGCAAGTGGCTAGGCAAGGTCGCCGGGAGCCGGGTGGTGGCGGACGGAGCAGCGGCGGCGATCGGAACGGCGGCACGCAGCGGCTGGCCGAGGCGACGCCGGGGAGAGCCCAAAACAGGGGAGGCGTCGGGGAGGATGAAAAACGGGGAAGGGGAGGTGGTGGCGGCCGGGGAAAAGCGCAGGTCGGCGGAGGTGGCCGAGGGGAGAGACCGGGTGGCGGAGGCGAGCGGCAATGCGGCCGAACGGCGGCGGCGAAGCCGGGGGCCGAACAGGGGGAAGGCGCGGGGAAAGAGAAACAGGGGGAGAGGAAGTCGCGCGGCGGCCGGAGCGGCGGCACGGCGGCGTCACGGGCGGCCGGGCGACGGAGGACAAGCCGCGGACAGGCCCAGGCAACGCCGAGCAGCAGCGGCCGCCAGCGGCAAGCTGCTGCTCGCGCGCAGCGCGGACAGGGCCGACGACAGGAGGACAGGGCCGACGAGCGGCGGTCGCAGGCGACAAGCGGCGGCACAGCTCGGTCGGGGCGACGGCGGCGACGGCGACGACGGCGACGGGGCTGGAGGCGAGCTCGGTCGGCGTCAGCTGGTGCGAGCAGAAGCAGAAACGATCGAGCAGCGAAGAAGGAGGAAGAAGAAGAAGAAAGAAGGAAGAAGAAGAGAAAGAAGGAGAGAGAGAGGGGGGCAGAAGGGACGCGCGGGCAGGGGGAGGTGACGGGCGCAGAGGAGAGAGAGAGAGAGAGAGAGAGAGAGAGAGAGGGAGGGGCCAAAAGTCAAACGCATCATCGCGATCCAACGACCCACGATTCAAACCCACAAACGATCCAACGGTCCAAAATTAATCCTAAAATATAATAAGGGACAAAGGCCAAATTAATTAAATCACACTACCCCGAGGGAGGTCTACTAGTCCAAATTCGCACCCGGTCAAAAATTCACTTTTCACATATCCCGGGTAATATCGAGGCTGGCCACAATAATATCGACACCGTTCAATTAAATTCGTCCCGAAACTTCAAGAAATTCAACACCAAAGTTTGGGCTCTAAATAACGGCCAAATTAAATCGAGTGCGATTCTAGCGAAATCTCAATTTTAAAATAATAACCGAGAGTGATCAGTTCCCGAGCGAGATTTTACTATAAGCACACTGACGAATTACACGTTTTATAAATCCCAAAAATGGGCCGAAATTCGGAATGTCACATTTTATACCACGGTTAGGATTGTTTGTTTCACAGGCTACTTTCAGTCGATTGATCCCAAATTAAAGATGAATCAAAATGGGCAAAATTGCTCTCTTGACCATCGGTGTTGCGGCAGCTCAGGTGTGTCTCGCTGTGATAATGGGTCATAGTCCGTGCAGGTTTTGGTTTGAGGACCACGAGATTCCGACCAGGCAAAGCAGACGGGAAAAAATGATTGTCATTGTCCTCCAAGGAAGGCACACACTGAGACTCCAATACCATCTGTACATGTGTCAGAATAAGTATGGAACCGAGTGTAAATAGGAGCTGTTTTTGGATTAAAAGCATGGAATCACTCCAGAAGTGTGACCCTCCTGGGGACCATGCCTGTTTAGTGAAATCAAAGACATGGATAGGCTTGCATGTAATGTCATCTGAAATTTTGGTATTATGGACCATGCTTGAAATTATGGAGATCATCCCGCAAACAGAAGATTTCATTCAAAGTAAGACCATCTCTTCTTTAATCAGACCAAGGTTATCAATTTGCTACGGTAGGGAAACAAAGATAGAGTAAGGGGACGGCTTAGGACTTGGCACTTTATGCCTTTTTTTGTGTTTGGATCAGTGACAGTTGATCCAGATGTGCAGGGCTGGTCTTCATGGCAAATTCTTGCCTAGACTCGTGTCCATAATGACCGTTAATCGTGTAAGCCCTTGTGATTGCTTTGGGCCATGCAAGACTCACTCATTCTTCATCCACTTTACGTACTTAGACGAACTTGACTTCCCATTCTCAATCTGTAAAATATACGTTGCAAAATGCAACTTGAAGGTTAGTTATCATCAATACATTGTACAAGATGTTCCAGATTGTTATAAATCCCTCTTCATGACTACATTTTCCATGGTAAGTTTTTCTTTTTAGCCCTACCACCCTCGCCCTCATAAATGCAGTGACTTCCCTCTCAGTTAAACCAGCATCTTGCAGAGCTTTCTCAATAGATTTCCCCATGTCAGATTGCCTAGTCAACTGAGACAGACATACCGTGAATAATTATTGCTAGTATGTAATTGATCAGCAAGAATCTGAGACCTACTTCCAATTTCGATCGATAAGCAGCGAAAGAATTCAACTGTTCAGGACTCATCTCGGCCATTAGAACTTCAGGTTCAGCAGACATCTCAAGTAACTTTGATATTTTCGCTCCCTCCTCACTATCGCTGTCATTAGAAAGATGAAAGTCTTTGGTACTCCATTGAAATTCGGAAACGGCACCATCAATGACCAAGGAACGCCTGCAGCCAGATGAGCCAATGAGATCAAAGACAATTCCAGAACTACAATTAAGAATTTGATGCAGCGTTTTCTCCTTAGAGCTCTACTATTCTCGAATGTCAGGACCATTATTCATATGACCATCAAAACATTCGTAATGCATCTTTTGAAGTTATTGGAAAATATTCACATGCTATTTCAAGGATAACGGCAATGCCTAACAATCCTGTAAAACTGCAAAATTACCAAAGTCGTTTTCCCCTGCATAACTATTTGACAATCTTTACAATCTTATTACATTGTATCCGTTATTTGGATGGACATCTTCGCTGAAACTCAGGCTGTGGATCTCTTTCTTCCGAAAAATCTTTCTTCTGCAATTCAGCAAAGTATTCAGAGAGAAGACTTAGTAGGAGGAGATCACTAACACATTGCTCCATTCAGAATGATCTCTATTTCCCATCTGAGCAAGAGGAGTATATCATAACTTCAGAATTAAACGCATGGTTTGTATGAGGATGCAACATGCATTGTTCTAGAAGAATTTCAACACGGGTAATGTCCATATTAGCATTGATAGTTGAATTTTTCTGGTACTGTAGGGCCCACCTCTGATTATACAGCCGCCTGATTTTCATCTCCATCCTCTCTGATCTGACAATGGAATCTCCACTACTTAACCTAAAATAAATTCGACCAAAAAAAAAACCTAAAATAAATAACTCCCATCAAATAAAGCAGAGTTTCCTCTACACCTGACTTGTGAAAAATGAAGATACAATGAAAATTGGATTACCTCTCCCTGTAGAGAATAGGGTATATTCGAGTAACTCCAACTAAAGTCATAGGGATTGGACCTCCGTTACTCTTGATACATCTGAATGCCAATGGAGCTCCAGCACCCTTGCCTACAAAATGATGGTTTCAGGGCTATACTATGTGTAAGATACCGTCAGAAAGTTGGTAAAGCCCATAATGCTTACAAAATCCCAGGCGATCAGCCCAATGAGCTCTATAAGTTCCATTTGCATGTAATAATAAAGTAGCCATTCTTGTTTCCTGAAAATAAAGCTAGAATGAGGAACTTCTTTATTTGGCCCAGAGGATTGGTATGGAAAAAAAGCTGACATCTCATGGTATAAGTACAATGTGTGATGGAAACTTTCTGTTTTTTGGTCGGATGTGACGGAAAATGTTGAAAGCAGGACATATAAGTTAAAGAGAGGAACCTCAAGCGGTGAAACAGGTGCAGCCCAGCCGCATAATCTTGCTCCCCAGATCTTCAGAGGACCATTTTAAACCATGATCAACATGCAATTGATAATTTCTCACGAATAAAAATTAAAAAACCAAACTTGAGCTTGTGATGCATTACTTGAATTTTTTGGCCAATGTACATTTTCTTTTCCATAAGATGCTTTGACAGTAAATCATCCAAAAGCGCATCTACAGAGTACCTGCAGAACAACTTTAGTTTTCAACTGTCCAGAAAAAGGACCATATGGTCAAGTCAACACATCTCTTACCAGCCATCAGTTAGCTCCAATCGCATGGCATTGTTGTTCAGTGTACCATTTTATGGTGTGGTTGAGCTTGGAGTCTTAAGGTTGTCATCGACGTGGATAGCTGAAACACACAGCACAAGCATTGCGGCGGGGGAGGCATCTCCTTCAAGAATTCTCTTAATTGCAGAACGGTGGCCATGATTGATTTCCGTTTCATATCTAGATAAATTTCGCATTATGATTTTAAGCCTGCCTCTATCAGCCATGAAAGAACATAGAGATCGATATAATAGATACCTATACTTCAGTTCCTCTAGCACATTTGTGGTGGTAAGAAACTTTCCAGTTGTAGCTGGGTAATGTCTCTCATAAGAGGCAAGCTTCCAAATAATCCACCTATAGTGATTTGTGACCCATCTGGACAATGTGAAAAGAACTGAGCGGATTGTTTGAGAAAGCGAATGATCCAAAAGATACAAAATCCGAGGATAAAGAATTAGTAAGCATGAAATGAAGCTCATAAGCATCTCTGAGAGCCTCATAAGCATCTCTGCTCCGGGTTTTCTTCATCCCAGCAGTGAAATGAAGCTTTGATCCTTCAGCTGATATCGCCGTCACCTTCACCCATATCATGACCTTTGTTTTCATCCCTTCTATTTCTGCTAGTTTCCCTTTCTCAAGATATCCAGTAACTGTGGTGAAAAAGCGTAAAACCGAAGAGTCCTTGTAGCCCACTTCGCAGATTGAGGGTATGAAGACAGTGAGCTTTCCTGTCTCTTCATTGAACTCATAGTTTGTTGCGTCACAAGGAAAGATCCCAACAGGCAGGCCATATTCCTTTAGGAGTTCTGGAAGTGGTGTTTGCATCTTCCCTGCAGAAAAAGGGCATCAATGGTAAGTCAATTATTTGCTATTAAGGACAATGTCCACAACATTACAACGGCTGAAACCTCCCACTCATGTTGCTGATCAGCTATGTAATTCAAGACAATTATAGAAGAATGGAAGAAAGACAAAGGAAATGCTTAAAACAACTCCAGTGGTAGTAATTGTTTCTCAAAAACCAGGAACTGCCCATACTAATGATGCTCAATGGAATTATGATAATCGTCATCTCAACTGTGTCATGCACCCAGATCATACCAAGAAGTTCCATGCAATTTACCTAACCACACCGACAAGCACCAGGATGTATTTAGCCTAGCATAGTTGATGAAAACTTCATGCATTAAAGAATGCCCACGGTTCTGAGAAGCCACAAGTTTATGTCTCATAGCTACATCTTTCACAGAAAAACAGGAACAAGTTCTACTGACATCCACAATCCTTGATTTCTCTATATAAATTCTAGCTAAGGAACAGAGAACACTAAGTGAACCATAAGTTTTTCTTTTGACCAAGGTAGACTATAACAGCACATTTTCGATTTAAAAATCTGGGCAAGTTATAGCACCAACTTGACAACCAAATGATAAGTTGCAGAGTAATTTAAAACTCTTGCATCCATCCTCTAGAGATTACTACTGTACATGCTAGATGGAAATTCCAAAGATACAAGAAAACTTAAGCCATAGGGATAGCAGAAAGCAAATAGTGAACAACCAAAGCACGCGACAAATAAGTTGCAGATCGCAGTTTAAGCAAACCTTTGATTTTGTTAACCAACCATTTTGCTCCTCCTTCAATGCTGCTGGACAATGACTATCAGTGAATATATAGTTATGTCAGTATACCAGAAACATTATTTAATAAAAGAAGCCAAAGGGTAAAGTATAAATAGAGTCCATGACATGCCTCATTTGTACATTTGAAATGATGATTTATTAGAAGAGAAAAGGTGTCCTTAATAGATGTTCCTTGAGAAGGAAGTTGCAAGGGATCCATTTAGCCATTGAGTAGGTTTCAAATTAATATACAATTAAACCTTGAGATTTGTAGATCAAGTCTTCTGGTGATGTAATATTGAACTAAATCTCAACTTCTAAGAAAGTTTACCTTGAAAAAGAGGAAAATCTAAAGCCATTGTAGATCTAGTGCATCGTACTATTGAGCTGGCCCGGAAATACCAGAAATATAAGCCACATAATTCAATTTTTTTCATGCTAATCAAAAGCCATGTCCTTAATATCCTTCAAAGGATTTGGATACCTTGAATTTGGCAAATATAGTTTCAAACGCCAGACTATGAAACTACAGTGTGTAATCAAATCAAGCTGCAGGTAAAACCAAGTCATCATAATAATCCGAAGCTATTAGCCTTGCACATTGCGAAGAGAATTCAACATTCAGAATGATCAATCAACATCTACCCCTTTGACAACATACCCATCTGTATATAATATGCGCACCAGAAAAATATTGAAAAGCGCCACCGCATCTGATAGTAGAAAAAGAATTTGCCAGTACGATAGGAAGGGACTGCTTGGATATGACACACAGATTAATCAACATAATAGCACTCTTATGGTTCTCACATCTGGTCTTGCTTTAGATAAATGACAGCTGTTTTTCCAGTTTCCATATCACAACCAAAAGTGATCAACGGACTCTATATCCTAACCGACCTTGATGGAGACGGCACGCCGAAATTCGCTAATATCAAGAGGACACATCACATATAAAAGTTATGTATTATATGATCACAACTTTCCCCTTATTGGCACACTCGCACTTATGGAATGACGACCACACCTCAACAGGTTTTGAGATGACGCCAGCGCAGCTAAAAACAACGCAATGCATTCAAACAACTATGGTTTTTACATATATCGAGATCAAAATTGTCGCTTCGACCATCATAAAAGAGAAAGAAAAAGCCTAACCCAGCGCACTAATCACCCTGAACATGGAATGTGATATCGCCCGTCGTCTTGGAATTTAATGGACAATACCAATTCACAGGTTAAACAAGAACAACGCCATCCAATCACCAATACTAGATTGACAGAAATAAAGTGGGAAAAGAAAACCCAATTCTCGAAAATGCAGAAACATGACTGACCACCCTCTTCTAAGCATCGTTTCTCCCAATCCACACCAAATTGTCATCGCAGCTGCATCTCAAACGTTACGACCACCCAATTCAAAACCCACATCGCATCCCTCCGCGCGATCAATTCAAGAACCCATCTCCCAGCATCGCATCGACGGTCGACCCATGACCGAACCAACCCAAATCTCGCCGCAAAAGGTAAAATTTAACACGAAATCGACCCAACGAGTAAGGGTATTTTGGTAAGTCAACCAAAAAAAGTGACTGTCTTAACCAAATTGGGGATAGAAATAGTGTTGTCTGACAACAATTATGAAAAATTCATTTTTCTAGTACTCTCGTGATAGTTAACAAATTTGAGTAGAGTCCTTTTTTGTTATAATTACACTGGTTATTTTAGCCATTGGATGAGTCCTAAAAATAATGTTTTCCTCCGTCCCTAGTTCTAAAATATTTTCCACAACCATGCCTTTAAATGGTCAAGTACAAAAATGACATCAACTACTTTTACTTTCACATGAGCTTATTTGTCAACGGTGTTTATAATTTGTAAGCCACCAATTAGAAGTGCTTGGTAAAAATAAATATAACCTTCTTTTTCAAAGTGAGCCTCAACTTTAGTTTGATTTAATATTAAGGACCATTAAAAAAAAACCTTTTGAGGCGAATTGGGCACGTTTAAACACGTTTTTATTTCTATGTTTTTCTGTTATTTTGTTTACCGGAACAAAAAAAGAATAGAAATCCATTTGTATATGTCATTTAATTTTTATATTCCCCAATATAGAAAAGTGGTCAGGCAATAGATTTGGAGCAAAAATAAAAAGTAAAAAGAATCTACTTCTTTGTTTTTTAGAACAATTTCTGAAACAATGTCATTTTCTTTGTTTTCTTTTCTTTTTTCCTTCCTTCTTTTTCCTTCTCTAGCTAGTCGCCTAGCCTCGACAATGGCCAGCGAGGCTAGGAGGAAGAATAAGGAAGGAAAAATAGAAAAGAAAAATAAAAAACTTAAAAAAATTAGAAAAATCTCATAAAATTATTAAAATAACAAAAAAAATTCACGTCACAAAATTTTTTTAGGATCGCACCAAACATTTTTCTGTTCTTTTTTTATTATGAGAATAGAAATTTTATGCAGTTACCAAACGTGTTTTTCTGCTAAGAAACTCATCCAAAAAATAGAAATTAAAAAATATATATTTTTGAAAAGTTGTCCCGGGAACAGAAATATTATCATTCGCACCCTTAAACTACATTAGTTCAGTTGGTTTAGCGGTTTGAATCATTTTTTTTTCTTTTCGCTCAATTCTACGCATATTTGGGGCTCCCAATGTTGTACACAACCCATTTGCACAATACAAATATGACACAAGATACGAATTACAGAAAGAAAATCCGAATATGACACGACAAGGCATGCTAACTTTATATGCTGACACGAATTGACACATACATTTTCATTGTAATTAAGCTATCTGTCATATAGAATCAATTAGATCAGCACGAATTGATACGAATTACAAATACGATTTAGAAGTGCTCGCAATTTGTATTAGTGCTTGAGTGTAAAACCTAGCTCAGAAAAGGTGCACATAATGATAATCCTTTCCTCTTTTATATGGATGAAGTTCATAATGGTAAAGATCTAGAAAATATAATAGGGTGTCAGGGGACGGTTCGGCTCAAAGAAGTAGCGGTCTCTTGTTTTCATATTTTTATGGAAAAGAATCTCCTTCTCCCATTATATAAGAAGCGATAACCAAAGCTTTCCTTGCACGAGTAATACAATCAATCCACAGCTTTCCTTTTCAATCTTCCAAGCAGATAACATAAAATGCGCCATGAGAGAATCAAATCAGATGGCACAAGAGAATCAAATCGAATGGCACACATAGCCCGGACAGTGACCATATGGTGGGGACTCAGGAGCATCTTCTCTTCCCTGGTGGTTCTGCTCGTCGGCACCATCATCTTCGCTGCGGTATACCCCACGCGCAACGACGAGAAGCTGCCATTGATCTTGACGGGGAGAGATAGAGAGTCGCTCTTCTCGAACCCGGCCGGCATGGCACCGTCGTCCGTGACGCTGTGCGACGTGTTCTCGGGAAGGTGGGTCTTCGACAACGCGTCGCGCCCCCTGTACAAGGAGGGAGAGTGCAAGTACATGTTGAGCCAACTGGCTTGCGGACAATTCGGGCGGAAGGACTTGAAGTACCAGCAATGGAGGTGGCAACCCCATGGTTGTGACCTCCCTAGGTATTTTCCCCAGCTAATACAATGCACACACATCTATGTCTCTCCACGATCTCTCTTTCTCCATTGCAAGCGCTGGAGCATGTTTGCGCCCGTGAGAGCGTTCTTGTGCTGCGTCGAGGGCGAAGAGTTGACCGGTCGGACATCGAATGACTGACTTTAGATGCAGCGCCTTCTAGTAAAGCTTTGTTTTTAGCGTGCGTCCGGCTGCCGCAGTACGTAACCACGTTCTGGCCTTGTTACTTTCTAGATTGTGTGTTTTCCTGTAGGCCACCTATTTGTTACTAATGAATCAGGGTCGATCAGAATACACGACCCATGTCTACCAGTTTTCCTTCCGCTCGCGACTAGAATCGTTAGTTGAAGCATTTGAGCCTACATTTCAATGCATTGCGTTCTTCACTAGAGGAGATCTTGGTTAGGGTTTTTGACAGGTGTGGATGGTGACATTGCCGTAGGTTCAATGCTACGGCGCTGCTAGAGAGGCTGAGGAACAGGAGATTGATGTTCGTGGGGGACTCTCTCAACAGAAGTCAATGGGTTTCTCTCCTTTGCATGGTGCAGTCGTCGATCCCTAAGAAGCGAAGATCCGTCGAGAACAGTGGCCCTTTGATCGTCTTCAATGCCCATGTGAGTCTCTTCTGAGTTCTCTGTCTTCAATTTCTCCCCGTCCCCCCTCCCTAAAGAGCAAGTTACTCACGTTTCCTTATTATACAAAACTTCGGTCATCCCGATACATGTGAAATAGCTCTCATTGGGTACGTTTAACGAAGACGCATCTACCACGTTGTTTCAAACGAAAGTTATAAGCTTCTTGTTCTTCTCTTAATTGAAGCGCGACTTCAGCACACTACACGAAAAGTGCCTATTCTAGGAAGATTAGAAAAAGATGACCGTTACACTTTTGGTCAATGAATTGGCAGCAATTTCCTGATTTTTTTATTCATAGTCTTGGGGATTCGGTACTTATACTTTCCACAAAATGCGGTGTCAAACCACATTTTTAGATATATTGAACATGGATTTTAGGAAGGGAGAATATTTTAGATATACTTTGATATTCTACCTAATCGAGTTTGTGATCATTTCTTTCTAAAGATATACATTTGAAGCAAATTTTTGCTTGTGGTGACTGGTCGAGTTGTGGCGACATTATTGCATACAAAATACCTAAAGTTTTATCATTTAGTTTGCGAAAAATAGAGCAAGGTCTAGGATAAGAAAGTAATATGAGACAATGAGCTCCACCATCGCAAAGGAGAGCTGCTTACTTGATACCAAGTTATTTGAACATCAAATTTCGGGTATTAAGCCATGTTTTCAATTGATATTCTAACAGAAGAAGTCATCAATACCAAAATGGGTCTTGTTAATAAATATTTTTTGGACACTTAAATAAGGACTCTAAAAAAGTAGGAATATTCTTCGATGCACATCAAACACTTTCTAATTGTGCAGTCAAATCCTTTTTTTTTGGCATGTTACTACAAAACACAATTTCAAAACCTAACTAGTACCCTTTATCAAGTGTATCTATGTCATTTATTGATCAAATCAAACCATATAGGTATCAAAGGTAAAGATGGTAAATATGAGCCTGTGAAATGGTGAAGTTGGCCAACTGGGTTATCTTTTTGGGTGCATTGAAGTGATTTTTTGCGCTTGACTTTTGGATGACATTGATTAGGATTATAATGCGACAATTGAATTCTATTGGGCACCATTGCTGGTGGAATCCAACTGTGACGATCCGGTGAACCATCCGATAGACGATCGTATTGTTCGAGTTCGGGACATTGGAAAGCATGCAAGGTATTGGTCCGACGTGGACATCCTAGTCTTCGATTCCTATCTTTGGTGGAGGCAAGGACCCAAGATCAAAGTTTCGTAAGTATATACATGTTGAGCATACCCAGTATAGTAAGTTTTTCTCAATATCTGCATTTCCTGCACCTTGGAAGATCTAAAGTTTGCAATTTGACCTCCAAGTTTCTAGTCGCTACTTTATGGAGGGAGAGAGAGAGAATCAACTCTTTAGCTCGTTCTCTATCTTCGCTTACTCGTTAAAATGGGTAATGATACCATAGGGTACTAAACTTTTGCTCAACATTTAATTGCGCCATTAATTCCTAAAGTTAGCTTAACAAAGGCCTTAGATTAAGCAGAATGCCAATTCCGTGGTGATTATGTAGAAAGAACTAATGATATATAGGGGCGACTTAGTTTCTAATTGCAACACAGAGAGCCAAAATGAAAAATTGAAGGGCAGGTTAACAACACAATGTGCAAGTCAGACGATGCCCTTCATTTTTTTTTTTTAGTGGAAACACCACATTCGGCCAATCTTAAAGCTTCGTCGTCGATGTCATTTGACGTTTAATAAAAGTCCAAGACTATTGATGTAATTATCCTCTTGTTAAATTCATATGTTTGTTGTTGCAATGCTCTTAAGCACAAGAGACTTGATACTTTAGTGTGTCGTCTTGTGCGCTGTAACTCCGGAAGATCATCAATGTATACATATTATATGCGGTAAAATTTGAGAAATATCATCCCATATTTTTTTTTGGATTATCTATTAACATCATTTTTTCCTTGAATGTTGGCAACCAGATGGGGATCAGCTGCAAGTCCTGACAGAAAATATGAGATGGTGAAAATGACTCGAGCATACAAGATCGCTTTAAACACTTGGTCAGATTGGATCGAAGTTCATAGAAACAGATCGAAGACCCAGGTGTTTTTCATGGGCTTGTCTCCAACTCATGAAAGGTAGACTTAACTCATAGAAACTCAAAATACGTCGATATTAACTTGAAAATCTAGGTTTACTGAAGTGCTGATAATCACGCCAAAAGAAACATACTACAGTTCTCTCGTGTTGAATTATTCGTGTGATACCAATTACTTAACTCGGTCATAGTAACCACACTTGTTGCCCGAATTCTATGATTTTCATTTAGCAGGGTTCAAAGGTTATCTTCCGAACTTACCAGCTCATTATTCTTCATCTTTTTGCCGCAGGGCCGAGGATTGGGGTGGGATCGCAGGTCACAACTGCTACGAAGAAACAGAACCGATCACCAAAGAAGGGTATAGGGGAAGCGGGTCAGATCGCAGGATGATGCAGATGCTCCAGAAGGCCATCGACAAGCTCCGGAAAAGAGACCTCAATGTTCACGTGCTCAACATCACGCAGCTCTCGGAGTATCGCAAGGACGCGCACTCGTCCATCCACAAAAAGCAATCCAGAAACCTCACTAGTTATCAAATTGCAAACCCCTTCACCTACGCAGATTGCTTCCATTGGTGCCTTCCCGGACTGCCGGATGTGTGGAACGAGCTCTTGTATGCCTACATTTTACATAATTAGACTCCTAAACATAGAAAATAGATAAATTATCTAACAGATCATGAAACTATAGTGAATATGCTCCCAATTGACGTTACTCGATGCAGTTGGTTGGCTCCAGTAGGCTGTATCCATGCTATTCTATCCTCGTCACACATTATATATCAAGCAATGTTGTTTCAAATCAGAAGATTAATTCGCTTACATGTCAAGTCCTAAATGAATGAATCAATGGGGTTTGCGTTCACGCAAATTAGTTTCTCAATGTTGTTAACCCGGTAAGAGGGGCTAAAACTTGCAGCTTGGCAGTCATTTTTATCTCCTTTGTCGCCTAAATGCAGGCGCCCTAACCCGCTCGTGGACATCCGATTGACAAGGTCATTCAGAAGAAGAGGTTATGCCTATATCTAAACCTATCTTTCAACTTTACCTCATTTATTAATTAGTAACGACATAGTTCACATTATACATCAATCAAGGACGAGTTCACGGTCCAGTCAACAAAAAATTCTGGAAAATCTTCGATTGTTGGTAAATTTATGAAAATGCTGGGAAATTTCTAATGAAAAAAAAGGCGTTTGTGCTGGGGATATGTTTTATCCTATCCCGTGTTGGGTGGTCAGATAGGATAAGGTCGGATATGCGGATATACCGATAAAAATCCGGGGAGGGTAGGATAGACCGGATAGGATTTCTAATGCCTATTTTTCCGAAACTCTACGCTCCACTCACCGTCATCTTCATCCCCACACCTTGTGCGCTTTCACCAAAAATTTCTCGGTTTTTTCTTCACGACTCCTCCGAACCCGTGAATAGCAAAAAAAAAATTATCCTATCGACTTTAAAGTAGTCCACAAACTGGATAGGATATGAAGAAAGATTTCTTATCCTATCCTATCCATCTATCCGTTTAGAAATCGACGACCAAACGCGCCTAAGGCGACGAAATTTTGCCACGGGCTTACGTTACGCAAAGACGACAAATTGTCGAGTTTGTCACGTTAGGATCGACCAAAGGCCACAAATTCAGAGCTTCAGAGTTTCTTTGTTGCCTTAGTTCATACTATAAGACGACAAATTCAGAGTTCCGTTGCCTTAAGTTAGACTTAAGCGACAAAATTTGTTCTTTGTTGTTATTGATATAATCAAAGTTGGGACAATTTTGAACCTACGAATTTTCATCACCTTATGTGAAACCTAAAGTGACAAAAATCATGATTTTATCACCTTCGATCAGACTAAAGCGGCAAACGGTGCATTTGGAACTGTTTTGGACGTTGACAAGTTATTATTTTTCTATCATCATCCGACGATGGTACTCTATTCTCTCTTTGATCAAACGGATTAGATTGAAGGGGATTGGTCCCATTATTAATATTAGACAACGCAGAATTTTCCCGTTTAAATTAATTAATGTTGATTTTTCATGACCTTCTCATTCAAGGCCAGATAATGTTGGTCAGATTTGGTGTAACTTAGGTCCAGCACTGACCCGGGGCATTGTCATTTTTCATGGTCAAGAGGCAGGGATTGGGGCGTTCAATCTTCGGATTGGAGACTATGGCCAAAGCAATATCTTAGATTTGAGACCTGTTACATCTTAGATTTCAGATTCCGACCCTTCCATATCGCAAGAAGTTCGAGGTTCAAATCGGTTCGAAGATCTGATCGATTAATAAATGATTGACAATACATTGTGTAAGTACATATAAGTATACCTATATATTAGATGGACTCGTGAAATGACTTTTCTACTTTTTACATAATAGAATCAATCATGGAGAAAAATAATTGCTCCAGACAAGATAGTAGACAAGGGCATGAGGTGTGGGTCACCTGACCAACCCAAGAGGTCCCCCCTCGGTACATATAAGTGCAAAAAAAGATGCAGAAGATGTATGGATAGATCGCAGAAGCGTGAAATATGACGAACAAAGCGGAAATAACTTCAGCCACATGGGGTGTCAGGAGCAGTTTCCACTCCCTGGTCGCCTCTGCCATTGTTGCCGTCCTCTCCGTCGCGCGTGACGGCTCTCGATTACGGCTGCCATCGAACGAGGGTGCCTCGCTTCAAAGCGCGACGACGTTGTGCAATTTGTTCTCGGGGAGGTGGGTGTACGACAACGCGTCTTATCCGTTGTATGAGGAGAAGCAATGCGCGTTCACGTCAGACCAGGTGGCTTGCGAGAAGTTCGGACGGAAGGACTCAGAGTATCGCCATTGGAGGTGGCAACCCCATGGCTGTGACATTCCCAGGTAGATGCATCTCTCGCTGTTCTAATGCATAACAGTAATGAAAGGAATCGCTATTAGATGGTGTCACTCCTGACTCACCCCAGCAAGAATCCAGCGAGTGTGCCAAACTCGACCTTGACTATTTCGTCTGATAAGTCGCATCGAACGTAAATCCCACCAGATCTAACGATTTAAATGCAGTATAATGTATGTCATCCTATAATTTCTCTACAGGTTCAATGCGACGTGGTTGCTGGAGAGATTGAGGAACAAGAGGCTGGTGTACGTCGGGGACTCTCTGAACAGAGGACAATGGGTGTCGATGATTTGCCTCGTGGAGTCCTCCATCCCTCCCAACCTCAAATGGATATCTTACCGCCACAATCACTCGTTAATCGCCTTCAATGCCATGGTAAGTTCTCTCCTTCCTTTGTTTTTCTCTTCGAGATTATGTTGATTGTTGGTAACGCGAAAATATTCCCTCGGATATTATTGTTCCCCTTTTTGGTTGCGTTGGTTACTTTGTAACCTCTCGTAATTTTGATGATTGGGACCTTCGTCACCGAAAATTATCACATGCTTCTGGTTGTGAAATTAATGCGGAAGCTAACAGATCTCGCAATTCAATACCAAATATAGGAGAACGAAATTACCAGAGAAATCAATAATGAACGATAAATATGTCAAATATTTACGTGGTTTGACCTGAGTGTTATGAAAATGCGTGTGTGAGTTGTGTTAAAAAAAGAGTCACATTAGAGAATTGGTGTGGTGTAAAGTAGTTAATATATCTTAACTGATGATAACTCCATACTTTAAACTTTAAGTGAATGTGGGTCCAATAAGATATGTTGATAGACTCGGACTTTTGCTCCCTCTTGCTGATCTCTTAAGTGAAGGTTGAATTTTTACTGCACGTTCCCAACAAATAGTATCAAAACCAATAGTTGATTGGTAGCTCACACCCAATGTGTATCAGTATATGATGAATATCTTAAGAAAAGGATCTCGTGACCAAATGCGATTTCAAGGCAGTCATGATGGTAGTTGACAGCCTAAATAGTTTGGTCTGGCAAAAGAGGCTTCAGGTGAAGGTGGGTGTTGTGAAGCAGCTATGCGGTCTCGATGGCAACTTTCATGGCTCAGTCTGGGAAAAGAGAGGTTCAATCTAGTAAAAGAGACTAGAGATGTAGATGAGCGTTGGAGATTCAAGTTGAGACATGTTGATACAAAAAGATATCTAAATTGAAGGGAAAGAAACCTAACACTGAGCTCACACTTAAAGGGGAGAAGTGTGAATTGTGTTCGAAGAGTACCACGTTGAAGAATTAGTGTAACATGTAGTGGTTAATAAATTCAAGTTGATTTATAATTTATTGGTTTAAGTTTTTTAGTTAAGGTGAGTCCAACTAAATATATTGACGGGCCCATACTTGAGATCCTCTTGGCGATATCCCAAGCAAAAGTATTAGGCTCCTACTGCGTGCTCCCAGCAAGTGTTTGTACTTACTCTATGAGGAGGGATAGCCATAATGAAATCCATTATGAATCTAGAGAATTGCAAAGTTTCAATCGCTCAAGTGTTTCCTACCCAAAACAAACTCATAAAGTTTTCACAATTTCACATAGAAAACTTGCCTAGAAAACTCACAGAGAGAAAAACTCTTAACACTTTTCTTGTTTAATCTTAAATATAATCCGCCAAAAGTACCGCGACTAATATGATTTCATGCAAAGCATTATTTCTTCAATCTGTTATGTGGTCTCACCATGTTCTCGGCTTCAGTCATCGACAAAACTACCATGTCTCTCAGTGACCTTCCAAACTTAGTCGTTGCCACGTTACCTGACCTACATCCTCTGAATATACCCCAACGACTATCATCCCCAACAAAACTAGGAGGTTCCACTTCATGGCATCATTATGTACACTTGGATTAACTGTATAGATTCTCTCGATGGCACATGAAAGATTGCGCTGGTATTATCCTCGGCATAACTCAAACAATCAACTGTACTAGCATGTGAAGCATGTAACAAGTAACTGACCACAAAAAAAAGCATGCAACAAGTACTCCATCCCCATCCAAGAACACCATGACAGTTTAGATAATTTTTAATATGCAGCAAGTGGGGTACTTGTAGGATTTTTTTCAACTACATGTCGAAGTATCTCGACGCGTTCTTGACGTAACTCCTCCAAATCATTTGCAACATCCCAATGGCCTTCACTCTTTGTATCTCCGTACCGAAGTTGTCTCTGATGCAATTAAATCATCTATCTCAATATTTGCATACAACTATCGCTCTATCTTATCTACCTTCATAGGCTACCTCGAAGCTTCATAACTGTCACTTAGAGGAACTATCAGCTGCTAAGAATTTGGTGACTCTGCAAACACTATCACATCTACTGCACTCTAAACATCTCTAAACTCTCCACCTGTTTTTTAACACCGTCTAGATTTTCTATCAATCAATTTGTAACTCTTCTTTTGAAACGGAGTACACTCGGCAAAAGTTAAATATTTGTTGAACATGGAAACCCAGACGAATCCTTCTTAGAGCATCACATGTTGTATTACTTCACCCCCACGTGTATGTCATATGAATATGTACCTTCTTATACTCAACTCTAGCGCCACGTCACACACACAAGCATAAGCAAGGCAACCGAACAATTGCAGTTCAGTGCAATAGCAGGCTTACTTGACCACATTTCCTCTGGAGTTTTTCACTTAATTGCTCGTAGTGGTGTTTTGTTCACTAACCAACATACAATAATCACTACTTTAGCCCACTTATCTTCATCAAGTCAAACATTTGAGAGTAAAGAGTGAGCTCTCCCCCAGTGAAATACCACTCATGAGTTCTGCAACTCCATTCAGCTGTGGTGAGTTGATATCGGTACGGTATTTCACTATGTCTTTAATTGTGTAAAATTTGAGAATTTCAACCCTTTCTCAGTTCACAAGCACACGAAATTTCTTCCAATGTGCTCTTCAATCATTGCCTTGCCCGACGCGAACCGACCAACTACCTCACTCATGTACTTAAGAAGACAAACCCAATCTTTCATCAACCAAGGACAATGCATACTCACCACCACCCTTAGACAGGACATGAGAGGATTCCCATAAGTCCCAAGATGAACCTCGGTGATGCAAATGCATCTCTGGCAAGGTGGTGCCTTATGCTTTTGCAGGGACTCTCTCAAACTTTACATATCGCAACTTGATTTTTCATATAATCAATCAAATGAGATTAGAGCCTCCACAAACCTATTATAAATCGTCTAGTAGCCGGATAAGATGGAGGAGCGCGCCTTGCTTACACCAATCGGATATTTCAAATTCATTTTGCGCGGCCCGACTAAGCCTACCCGTAATCTTTTGTTAGGTGCATTAATTGGATTGGGAGCTTCGGACAAATCTTTCTGGGCCAGAAGTCAAGCTCGGCGCCCCCATCGATAACGTTTTTTATGTTTTTCGCCAACATCAATGCTAGGAGATGATCCTAGGAACTAGTACTTGTCCCTTTCAAATTGATTGCAGCCGTCGATCCATCTATTTAGGCTTTGTTTGGGAGATGCTAGGGGTAGACAATTACTAGAGAAAGTGCCACAAATTTAGAATTGGTAACAAATTGGGCACGAGCGTGTTCTGAGGGGGATGAGAAAGAAGTTGGCGGCGAGCCAATGCATGCGAACGAGTAACAATCTCTATTCTCACATTAATCAATCCCAGTGCTTTAATTTGGACCTTTGGTGATGATGTTGGGGCTAATGAATGAACTTAGGAATACAACGCGACGATTGAGTTCTACTGGGCACCGATGCTAGTGGAATCCAATAGCGACCATCCATATAATCATCGTTTACCCGAGCGAATTGTTCGAGTTCAAGCCATTGAAAAGCATGCAAGGGTTTGGTCGGATGCGGACATTCTCGTATTCAATTCCTACCTCTGGTGGTTGAGACCGGAGATGAAAGTTCTGTAAGTCCCTTGTGCTCTGTGACATCTCTAAAGGGTAAGTAAGTTCCAAACTTTTCATAACTTGTCTTTCTATTTGGAGTGAAACTTACTTTTAATTTTTTCTTCTTCAAATTTTTACTTTTGTGTAAAGCAGACACCTTAAAACTTTCAAAACAATATATGAATATTGACATGTAGATAAAAATATAGTTTTAGACCGCAGGTAGAAATAATAAAGAGAACGGGGCTGGCATTCAAACTCTCTCTTTTTCTCAATTTCCAATTTTTTATACTTTCTAGTCTCAGATTTGCTTTTCCCTAAATTTTAGGTTCTGCAATTTTATATTTTAGTTTTTCCTAACGTGCTTGTAACGGTTCGTCTCACAACCCGCGATCGAATTTTTTTCTTTTCGAAAGTGGAAGTCTAAACTTTTCTTTTTTTGGAAAATTCGTTGAAAGTCTATGACCTAGAGTCTTGCTTTCCTAGTTCGAGGTGAACTACAATTGATCAAACCCTTAAATCGTTCTAAGAGTTGTCACCAATCATTCAAGGTCGATTGAGACCCTAAATTAATAGGTGTTAGGGGGAGGAATCATCTAGAAGTTGATTTGGTCTAAACAAATCCGAAACTTCAGGTCCGGAAGTTCGGTTACACGTGCGGAGTGAGTTAACGACCCCATGTTGCCCTGTACCACATCACTTGGCTAAGTTCTTTCATGCAATATCATAGGATTTCCTATTTTGATATACATATAATTTTTTCTCAGGTTTTTGGAAGATTGAGAACTTTGTTGCCGCCCTCAGGTGAAATCGCGGCATCACAGGGCGGACAATGACTCGACTCCATCGTGTTGTGTGTGTCCCCAGTGAAGGGATGTATCGAGAACCGAAACAGAACGATCACGCAGAAATCAGAGAAAATAGATGATGCACGAATTTACCCAGGTTCACTCTCGAATAAGGCTACGTCCTGTAAAGAGATTTCACTACATTTTCAGTTTACAGCCACTCAACTCGTTACAATGATCAGAAAAACGAGCAAAATATAGATGTGCCCCAAACGGGCCCAAAACCTAAACCCATATGAAATCTCTTAATATCGCACCATACGGGCCAGCTTAAATAAAAGCCCAAACCCGTTGAGGTTTCGGGGGGGCGCCTCTCGCCCGGGAGGGATCGGAATCCCGCTCGGTGACCGGCAGGGCACCGTGTCGGGCGCCTGCCCGACCCCCGCATTCTCGCACGCAGGGATCACATGTCGTCGGATAACACTTCAGTTTCCTTAAGCTCACGTGAGCATATCCAGTGTGAGAAACAAGGGTCCCCGAAGTATTCACCAACTCCAACACCCAGTCTCTTAGAACTTGCGATTCATGAACGTGAAGCAATCAGTGAGCTGCATTCAAATGTTGAATAAAAGAACTAGGACAAATCCAATCCTATCAAAACAGTGTTCATGTATTCAAGGTGAGAAAATATTCAGTGGTTACCAAACACCACGTCATCGTCCTACGTGGCGTGCGTGTTCCACCCAAAAGACGACATGTGTCGCGTGACGTGGCAATGGAAGGAAGTCCTTTTGTCTCTCTCCTCTGGCTGGTTGGTGGGGAAAGTACTGACCACAGTAAATATTTATTACCTCTGCGCTCTCGCTCTCTCTCCTCTCTCCTTTCTGTAACGTGAAGGAAGTCTTTTGCCTTCTCTCTCTTCTGCAACCCATTCTCTCTTCCTCTCCCGAGCTCACCCGAAGCTCTCCCCTCCTTCTTCTTCTTCGCCTCCGGCCTCGCCTTTCCGACTTCGGCTTCAGAAACCGTCTGGAGAAACCGCCTGCCTCGGGTTCCGATTTCGGGCTCGGACGATTTTGATGGGGAAGTGATTTCCTTTTGGCGCCTAAAAATTGAATCTTGACTTTCCAAACAGACTGAAATTCCAATGCAAACGCTCATCTCATCGGCTTTCGTAGCTTCATCTGCTAAACCCATCTTCTCTCTCGCTCGCTTGCTCGCACTTTCTGAGTTGGGCATGGCTGACCCGATCTCGAGTCAGCTGGAAATTATAGGCAAACTCAAGTGTTCTATATGCTGAATTTGCCATACCCAGAAGAAAAAGAAGAGAACTTCTCTCCATTTTTCTCAATAGCGCTTCAGCTTCTGATAGTTCTTTCTGCTTTCTGCCAGATGTTCTGTTCGTTTGATTTGAAATTCATAGGATTAATCAACTCGAGACGGATTGATTTCTTTATTTTTTTGGGATTCGTTCATATTTGGTTAGCGAGGTTGTCGCATTTGAGTTTGAAACGATGCTGGATAAACTCGTTGACATATTTTAAAAAAATTGGAGTGTGAACCCTTTACTTATTGCTGTTCGGTTATTGGATTTGTCTATTAGAGAATTGATTGCAGTGTTGTTGATCTTTTGCAGCTTGCTTGAGATGTTATTTTATTGAAGTAGTTCGAATTAGTTGATTTAGAAAAGGAGATGCTCTGCTATGAAGTCCTCTTTTTCGTGTGGTGTATATCCTCGCCCTCACGGATCTAATGTTCTACGCTGGTGTGTTGGGATTGGTCTTTCTTTTTACGTTATTTCGCGCTTATTGGTTGGAGACGTGCTACATTATGCCTTGATTCCACCTCTAGAAAAACATGAGAAACATTTGAGAGAGAGGGGAGAGGGGTTGCCAATGGCACCTCAAACTAGCATACGAAACGATCCATTTTTATTTTTTTTTGTATCTAGATCTCGCTTTGAAAACTCATCTGTCGCAAGTCACAACTATGAGGGGACTCTAGCTACACTATCAACAACAATCCTAAGCTATGCTATTGAACAACTATGAGGGGACTCGATTTTCTATTGAAGCTCCCTTCATGATGGGTGCTTACAGAAACTCCAAGACAAGAAGGGAAGCCATTGCATTAGGACATAAATCATGTATGTTAAACGACTTTCACAGCTGCGACAACGGAAAAGAATATTTTTTCAAGTGAAATTAATGGATAGACCCACTCCGTATACATAGAAATAAAACATAATATACATGATACAATAGCTTGATCATTAATCTTAGCTTTCATGAAAATGAATAGAAATCTCACAAGCTTCTACACAAGCAGAGTTTGGTAACTCAGGTGATTTCAGAATGTAAGTGGCTAAGGTAAAAGAACTTAATTGCGCAGTATCTTTTTACAAGTAAAGAATGAATAGAATGTTGTGAGAGCCTTCATCCGTTCCTTTCCATCTTCCCTGCAAAGCCTATGATCAGATGTACGAGCCTCTTCAGTGCCGGCTCAACAAAGAACAGCTTGATAATCTCTAGCCTTAAACACGAAGTGGTTGCCCCTTCTAATCAACGCAGTTACACAGCATGAGCTGCCTCGTGATTCCTCATTCAAAAAATCCAAATCGGTCTTCAGGTAACCGTCTCTGTTTCATCCTGGTCTCTTCTCACCACTTCATCTATGATATACTTACTCAAGTCGGCAAACCCAGTAGCGATTACACCTCTATGCCCAGCAAATATACCAAACAACGCCTGCATATTGAAAGTAGCAGAATCAGGTTAGCGTCCTTGCACGTTGAAGATGGCTATAATGAACTGAACTGACTATAATTCCTTTCAGAACAAAACTTGAACAAGTTCATTACCGTTTCTTCGATTCTAGCTTTGACGACTTAAGTCAGTATCCTAAGCTTCCAACCAAATTCTTTCTGGTGATCACAAATACAAATGACATCTCATCTGAATCGTTCTAGAACAGTCGCATAAATTGTTAAGCTATTCACAAACCATCCCGTCATCATGATTAAGAAGAAGCTCTGCCTGAAAACAGAAAAATTTACCTGCGTGCCATTCCATGGATACCCATGGAAGCAGAATACCGATCCTCCATAGCCGCGGTCGCCGGAATCCCAAAGCTACGAGCGTGAGAGAAAATGGGTTTAAACAGAGCACCCATACTCCTCTCTCTCTCCTCCATTACAACATCCCCACGGCCGTCGACGGCATCGCCGGAATCCCAAAGCTACAAGCGAGAGAGAAGATGGGTTTAGCAGATGAAGCTACGAAAGCCGATGAGATGAGCGTTTGCACTGGAATTTCAGTGTGTTTGGAAAGTCCAGATTCAATTTTTAGGCGCCAAAAGGAAATCACTTCCCCATCAAAATCGTCCGAGCCCGAAATCGGAACCCAAGGCAGGCGGTTTCTCCAGACTGTTTCGGGAGCCGGAGTCGGAAAGGCGAGGCCGGAGGCGAAGAAGAAGGAGGGGAGGGCTTCGGGTGAGCTCGGGAGAGGAAGAGAGAATGGGTTGCAGAAGAGAGAGAAGGCAAAAGACCTCCTTCACGTTACAGAAAGGAGAGAGGAGAGAGGAGAGAGAGCGAGAGCGCAGAGGTAATAAATATTTACTGTGGTCAGTACTTTCCCCACCAACCAGCCAGAGGAGAGAGACAAAAGGACTTCCTTCCATTGCCACGTCACGCGACACATGTCGTCTTTTGGGTGGAACACGCACGCCACGTAGGACGATGACGTGGTGTTTGGTAACCACTGAATATTTTCTCATTCAAGGTAGTCAATCAACTGACACACATCCCACAGGTTCAGACAGTACTTTCATCCATCATTAATGACTTAATTAGCACGTAAATTCAAGACAATGTGCATTTCTTACTTTAATGTGAAGTTCAAATCAAGGAATGAAATTAATCATGCGAGTCGAGCAGCTTACGGATGCAACATTATCCGAATTCAACCAATTATTCAATGCAAATTAGCGTGTAAATCACACAATGTTCTTAATCAATCAACGTGGTGACACTCAATTAAAGTGCCAATTCAAATTAAAGTCAAGTTTCATAGCAACGTGCTTATTCATGACAACATACGATACAATTTTGGCATATGATTCAACATCATTACTCAATTTCAATTGGCATGCTTTTGATGCACAATATGCCAAATTTTTATTAAAGACTGAGTTAGTTTTATCAATTCAAATTTCAATATTAGTAAAAACATGTAACGAAAATATCCACATGCACAGGCTTTGATTCAGCAACTGACGGCGCCCGATGTCTCCACGTCTCTAGTCCATTCAGATCGATATCCTCAGTATTGGACAAGGGATCGGCTTCATCAGATAGGGTGTTTAAATAAAAATGCATATAATACTCCGCAGAATGTCAATCT